AAAATGACCCGCAAAATTTCCCCAAAAAAATGCACCAACCCTGTTCTATTCGGATCTCAAATTCAAGCCTCCCTTCTCAAATTCGAATATGCTTCCTCCCGTCCGAAGTGCAGATGACATTTCGATAAATTGTCCATTCTCTCTCACTTGCAGAAGGTGACAGGATAAAACATGAAGAATTTGTCAACTGCCGCTCTCAATTTATTTCTCTCTTAGTTTTTTCTCTTAATGAAAATGCTGATTGTGGCTGAAGAGCAAGTGTAGAAAGGGGGCAAAGTCCGGATAAGCGCGCATCAACGTAATAGCTGCGTCGGTGCAATCCCTCCCTCTTAAAAAGGGCTACAGCATCCATCACTACACTTCTTACAATTACTAGTTCAAAGCGAAAATTGATAGGACTGAATGAAGAAGGAGGTACGAATGATCCATTAGCTGAACGCTGAACTTGAAGGAATCTTCCACGGAAAAAGCTCTGCCTTCATTCACCACAGAAAACGATACCTTGAAGGAATCTTCCACGGAAGGGCTTAAGGTATCGTTTTTCTGTAGTAATGGAGGCGGAGCTTTTTTTCTATGGAAGACTCTTTTAATTCTGCTGAAGCTAGCTTCAATCTTTGTAGAGTTGTTTAGGGATGCCAGATTCGTCTGGGAGACTAATCATTTCATCGCCTCACCTGGACTGCTCATTGCATTACATAATTTATTCACGTGTCAAGCGCCACCCTAACTATGCCTGGGAGTCGAGAACATGGTGTCTGTTCGAAAAGAGTTCGACGTCACAGATTTATCTACAGAGAATTGACGGGAAAAGTCTCTCCCCTCCACATTCAAAACGGAATTAGTTACACGTTGCCAAACCAAACCGAATGAGCCCAACTGAATATTGAAGAGCACATTCCATTCTATCAAAAGCTACATAACAGCCTTCTACACCGACGACATCAGAAGATTTTCCCACGGAAACATGGTGCACGGTACGAGCTCAACGAGGTCGTCGAGGGACCAACTACCACTGTGACGTCATCTGGAATACTGGACAAAAGCGATCTTGCATAGTCACAGCTAACTGCCTCCAAGTAATCTGTGAGGAGTCAAGGAAGCACTTTAAGCATGCATTAGTGGCAGTGGAGACATTTCAAAATCCGACTGGTTCACATAATGTACATAATGCCGTTAGCACCTGTTTTTATGCATTTGGCATTCTTCTTTTAGCTCAAGTTACATTGTTTTGGGAGCACCCACAATTGTGGGACTCTCTGCATTTGGTGTTAGTGGTAAAAAAGAAATGGTTTCAAAAAAAAATTACCAACACCCAAGAGAAGTTTCCAGAGCTCAGCAAAATGTTTTCTCAGAACCTCGAAATGCCTCTATAATACATCATTTCAGTGGAGGGAATTCCAAAGCCTACAAAGCTGATTCATTTCGTGTTACAACGCCCTTTTATGATGTGTTATTACAAGATTAGCTGATGGTCCAGATAGTGTACCTCGCCGGCATGACTATTTCTACGACTACGGTACATCATTTGTTGATAAAAGGCAAGCCTCGGGATATAATATGTATAAGAGCGTTCAGTGATGAAGCTGGAGGAGGGGAGTGTTCTAGAAAAGAAAAAAAAACAAAAGAGACGCCCGATGACGTCCTATCATGTCCCCTATCGAACAAATTCCGCGAACCGCTAGCTCCAGTTGATCCAGCGCCAGCCACATTGAGCAGCAACATGTCGCGGTCCTGTCGCACGACCAGAGAGGTAGCCCACGGCGGATCCCTCTAACAAGGTGTAAGGTGTTAACGGCGGAGCAAACTCCTAACGCATTTGCCGCAACTTCCAAATCCCAAGGCAAAGTATCCAACGCTTTCCGCCTGCCTAAAACGATCGGGGATGGAGCACGTGAGCGTCCCTAATCTTGAAGCTCGCCTTTACATCGTTTGCGTCTCGACTCATACCTGGGAGTGACATAGTTCCATCCCCAGTAAGATGAACTCTCGGAACAGCATTCTGGCTATTCGCCTAAATAAGCAAAATATACAATACATACGTAGGGCTGATTTTTGTAGAGTTTCAGATTCCAAATATGATCGTTTGTTCTAATATGGGTGCGATTGAAGATGAGCTCATGCATACAATCCACAGCACCATAGTCGAACGAGGGCATCATCTGAAGATGTATGATTACCAATGTTCCCTGAAATTTCCTTACCTCTCCTACTTTGTTAGCCATCAACTTTGGATGGCTAGCGAGCCAGACGAAATCTTCTACACCATATACACAAACAGCATGGCGATAATGCTTCGAGCGACACTCTGGACTCTTATCGTACTGCCAGCTCTCCACTCTTTAAATTAAAAGATAAGAAACTTATCGTTTCATCGAACATTTCGCCTTATTCACTCCTTTTTAGGTCACCTCATTCACTACTGCATGAAACACAGCTCTTGATGAGAAGAGAAATTTTGCACTTCCTGATCACGTCCGTTCCCTGGGATGTACATATATCCACATCACTTAAAACTGTTGTGTCAGCCTGAGATCTCGGTGAAATAGAGGCAAACACCACAGACACTCCCGTAGTTTGACCATGTGTGCGTATTTCAGGAGGAATGCCTATAAGGGTGGCGAAAAATTACGTGCTCCAAGGAGATCTACGCTGGCTTCATTTTTTGTTCATACACAAAAAAGGCAACATTTTTGTGACTGGGCTTCCAGAGCTTTCTTAAGGACCTCTTCATGATATATCTTCGCATTGATTTCCATGATTTTATCGATAAAAATCAATGAAGGGTTGCCCAAAGCACTGATACTGCTCCAAATCATCAAACTTTCAGCGAATGGAATTCTTGCAGGTATTTCCCAATTAAAAATGTTCCCAAGGGTTGAGCGAAAAAGTTGATGGTAATTTAGGAGTATTGAACTGCTTAAAGGACGAATTCACGATCAGAGGGAAAATCGAATTAGGAAGAATTCACCTGGTTGAGGGACCCGCGGAGCTCCTAAGTGTGCGAACTGAAGCACAATTTGCACAGGAGGAGTTGACCTCGTTGACCTATTAAGGTTTAATCCCGCCGCGGCTGGTCAGTGCACGCCCACCGATCATCTGATCACTCGCCGCAGGTCTATACGTGGCGAGTGATTAGATAGGTGAGAGAGCGTAGTGTTGAAGATGAGAGTCGCATCAATGCTCAAATCAACGGGCAAGGAAGGGGTCCCATTTCTCGGTTCTGGGCCGTTTCTCATGGTTCTTCCTTCTTTCGTGTACCACTCACCATCCCTAGGTTAATTTGAAATGGGTTGCTTTTCATCGTGAATTCGTCCTTTAATGGGCGAATTTTTTTTCGTCAATCACACTCTTGAGCTTCGCCATACCATCGTCTCGATGTCGAAACTAATTCAGATCTATATCAAAACTGACAGCGGCCACTTCGATACTTTTTTATAATTATTGAATGTTAGAGTTTGCTGTTTTATAAATCAATTTTCTTCAAATTTTTTGGAGCAAAAATAAGTTAGGACGTTTTTTATGGCGCACGTAATTTTGCGCCATCCTGTAGACCGCTGACCTCATGTTTGTGCTAAAGCTAAGCGAAGTCTTCAAATTTTATCATTGATAGAAACTTGCGCGATCAACACAAATTCCTTAAGACTTGTCGTTCAAAGGGACCAAGTATATCAGGTGTAGCGGGAGAGTGTTCGTCGCGATAAGAGTGTCGCAATACGAATGCGTTGCGATTGCACTGCGCGAATCTGGCGTTCCCCACGGAGCAACTGTTTTCACATTTTCAGAAAAAGTTTGAGGACATACTCACAACCAATAATTTCCTTTTTGAAACATGTCGCTGGACTTATTGTTAGAAACATATTCACCTTCTGGTAGAGCATTGTTATAATGAATGTTTTAAAGCCAACAAATGCAAATATGAAATTGAAGGATAGTCTGTTGTCAACATGTGAATAAAAGGTTGTCTGTGAACAAGAATCTGCAGGTATTGCTAGAAAAACTCCAAATGTTAGCTTGTAAGAAAGGGCAAAATAAGAGGATGACCGTTAGCAGATGCCGCGATTCTACCAACTATTGGTTATCGGATATCATGATTCTCACAAAACAAGGATATGACTACCATTTTCCACGTAGCTTCTCATTATTCGTCTGGTTTGCTTGCTCGGTATACACTATCCTGATAATTGACCCATTAGGGACATGGGTACAGTCAGTCTTGCGAAAATTTTACTTCTGAACCAAGCAAGATAAAATGCCGAATTCGAGATAGCGTTGGTATCCTTAGTTGGAGGAAGTAGGAAATGAGCAAGAGTGAGAGGAAGGTGATTATCTTCTAGGTGAGGTTAGGGCTATGCTATGAGGGGGAAGAAGGAGAGGGGAAGGAGTTATCCGTCCAAGAGTCTCCAAACTTCCGTGAATGTGATTGGATAATCGTTTAAAGCTGATTTTTGTGAAATTGGAGAACGGCAGTCAGAACACGATGGAGAGTCATGTAAGGGAACAATGGGAGACCAATACAGACGGCGATGTCAGATCGAGAGCCGGTGCAGACTACGAAATATAATAGAACATAGAGGATATGGAGGCCAGACTAAACATTTTCGAAATTGGTCGAGCTTGGGGAATGTGTCAGGATTATTTCTCTAATTGGAATTGCTCTGCCAAACAACAGCTATTTTGTACGGCATCCTTCTCTACAACGTCGCTTATAACACCGAAGTTTTAGTTTACAAGGCTGATGTTTATAACCAGGGTCAACCATCCGTCGGACAATAGTCTAACGGGTGGGGTCGTATTTGGCCGCCGCGAGAGGGGGTATTCGCAGGAGTCAACGTTGCAGTACGAAGAGGTTTTTGGGTGTAGATGACGAGAGGTGGTTTTCGCTATAAGGAACCTAATGTGTGTTGTGATGAAGCTCGCAGCTGTTGGCTCTTGCTGGGACCATCGAACGATTAGAATCAAGACGTTAGTTCTCCGCGACAGTAGGTGAGAGGTAAACTTTTGTGGTCTCCTACAACTATTGACCACAAGCGAGTGCATGGCGCGTCTCAAAGTTCACTGCGAAAGCGTCCATGTTTGATGTTCACACACAAATATGCTCTCGAGCAAAACCAGTATCTTTGAAGTAGACCTAAATAGAAGCGGACAGTGTTTTGGCAGCGCTCATGTAATACCAGTGATACAATCTCTGTGAAGGAGAAGAACGGCACGATGGTTAGAGGAGTCTTTGCGGGCAGTGTGAGTTGCTCGACACTATGTTTCTTCAATATTTAACTGCGAAAGGATAAGATGCGACGATGCGAAACAGCTTCGGCATTATCTTGGCACGCTTTCTTGCTTTCCGCTTATGGGAGTAAAGTGATAACATAGAAGACGAGTTGAAGGCAGTCTATCACACACCTAAATAACAGCTAGCGCGATACGTTGCACACCCAACGGTAGTGTGTCACGAATTCATGCCCGCGCGCGCCTGCCCCCGTCTCGCAAGCAGTGCGGGCGGCTCGGCTACAAAGAGGTCATGGGTTCAGGGCGGGTAAGGAGATATTTTGATGGGACAGGCCAGGAAGTGAAAGATAACGCAATGAATATGTGGATAAGGGGCGCCTAGAAAGCACACGCAAGATTTCACGTAAATGATTAGTATGCGCTCTTCAACGGCAGCGTAGGGCGTTGGCCTCCTAGGAAGGTGATTGCAGAGTGTGGGAGCGGAGGAGACATATTTGGTAGGGGGAATCAGAAAGTTGATTACAACTATTAAAAGCCAGATAAGCGAGGCTCCAGAACGGAAATTACACGAAATTCATAGCACGCGTTTCAGCAATCGTCAGGAGTTGATCTCTTAGATCTTAGATAACGCAATTCATTTCAACATTATTCATTTGCAATGTCGTCTTCAGCTAAAATTACCATTTGGCCGGTACACTCCCCGAGTTCCAAATAATGTCCGGCGCATAGTGTTGCAATAAAGCATCGAATAATGAGTACACTGGGTATTCCTATTTCAACATATTAGCAATCAGAGAGTTATTTGAACCCGTCAATAGGAATACGTGATGCATGGTTTCTTTTTTACAGAGCATCATTGAGCTAACCGTACCCACCGCAGCGACGTATTACGCAATAATCATTGGGGAAAATGCTATTTTTTCACTGGATGGAAACCTAAGCGTTAACACCCATGTCGCAGTTTCACCCCGAAGGCTGAGCTGGAGTGAGCCCATGACTGACCCAACTCCGACGAGACTGGCTCTATCGTATTAGAGGATGCTTGATCGCAGACCACAAATTCTTTTGATGCAGTAGCGGTGGAGGCAAACAAAAGTATTAAAAATAAATCGGGAGCCTCAAAACGTAATAATTTTAGCCGAATAGGTCCTTTCGCCAGGTGCAATGGCCGCAGCATTCGCAGACGCCAGAACGAGTCAACAGTTCCAGAGGATCGACTGACACCAATAAGCCCAGCGAGTAGTTCGCAAATATACTGTGTGTTTTGTTCGTGTCCATCTCAAGGATGTTCGGTTCAACGCCACTGTACAGCGAGTCCCGTCTGTGACTTCATCACTACCAGGACGTTAAACTAAGGTCGCGCAGTTTTGGCGTTAGAACGTGTGATTCTTTATGAGGCGCTTGCCGAAAACCATATAATACTATGGTGAAATGTATCAGTCCAGAATCGTTAATTAAGTTGATCGCGACTGTCAGTCACCATCTTATAACATAGTATCCGCACAGATTTCGCACTTCCTTGTACTAGCAACCACTAAATGTAGTGAGGGTCGAGAACAGTGGAGAGTTCTCAGGTTTGCACCACCATCACTCTGCGGTGGTCGTCTGCATCCTCCTTATTCACAGTCTCCACGGCCTGGTTTTTGTATGTTGGTAGCATACTCGACTTCATCCGTACACTTATGCCCCTTTTTGTCTGCTTTATACCTTTTTCATACTACACTCTTCATTCTTCCTGCTTGTCCATTTTTTATTTCGCATAATCGGAATCACTTCACCACCCGACCACTATTTGCAACTACTCAAGCCCAGGACAGAGTGTGCACGTTATTGGTCTCACCACCACGACCCTACCCGAACACGTTTAGTCACACCGGACAAATATCACTCACAATAACACGAAGTGCAAAGATCGCACAATAAATCTTCAAGGACACTACCGACTTACTGATGGATACTTTCTGGTATTATTCGCTGATAGACGCATAACCAGATTATGTTATCTTCTTTCTTCAGATAGTCGCGATCTACATTCACATACTATACTTCTCTGCACCCTACTCATCTAATAGTTCCAACATACATACTAATGCATAACGAACAAGCCTTATACTATGTTGAATGAAAACCAATGAGTATGCTTACCATTCCATCATTGGCTTTGAAATCCTTCCCAGGCATAGTACGCAGCATACGCTTCTAACCATAACGGTGCAGCGTTGGAATGAGAACTTCGTCAACGCCCAAGACCTAAACAGCTTATTTCTGTCCTCTGTCTAGAGTTACAAAAAAATCTGTATCTCAGCCGGCTTCACACAGAAAAGCCTCCAAAACCATCGAACCCTATTATAACAATGGCATATATTATGTGTTCATACGTTGCGATCGAGCTGTTCAAATGTTTTTGTGAGGTCTATTGTGTTCACCATCCAGTCAGCAGCAGCACGTGACAGTGACGCATGCGCAGCTCCTCGGGCAAATGTCAACGACGCGTTCAGCTGTGCTGACGTCATTCGTGCCTCTTAATCGTTCATTTGAGAATGAAGCGAAAGCGAAGCGAGCAAAGCATCTCACTGATCATCGCAATCTAACTGGGAAGAAATCAAGAGGAAGGCAACTACGTATTTCTTCTAACATAATCCAAGAAAGTCATGCACCGTTTCGATAAAATTTCAGCGAGCGAGCATCCCATTTCAGAGATTTATTATAGCGATAACTTTCACATGGTCTCACGTGCACATCATTTGCTCCTCCGAGAGCTCGTAGTATATTAACGGTCTCGTACACAGTCTTGATCATGACATCGTAATTCTGAAGATTGTTTTGGTAATTCATGCTGATGCTGCTATCAATATTCATGTTGAAACCTGCATAAGAATTACGTATCCCCATCCTCCGTACGCCATCAGCGATTTCATGCATTCGTAATGTGCTCGAGTTCCATTGATTCCATTCCTTCCCAATATCGAAACGCTCTAAACATGCGAAGATACGTAGATCAATGAAACCAGCTCACTGGATGTACTATCTTGATGTATTCACACCCTTTATTTTCCAGGTTGTTTAGGTAGTAATCAGAGTATTTAACCCCCGTATTCACACATCTCAGCACAGAGTCATTATTGAACATCTTAAAAAATCATTGAAAATCGTCCTCTTAGCAAGTGCAAGCTAAAATAATGCCCAAGCAAGATAAGGGATCCGGAAAAGTGTTGAAATCGCCAAAGGTTTCTTTCCTTGCCTTGGTTTTAAATATTATTCCGCTTAAGAAGCTGTCGAGATGGCTCAAAGAATGGAAGTTGATGAGAGAGGGAGATTCTGTAAGTGCTCTATGTGAAGCAAAGCTGAATGAGACGATTTGTCCATTTCTTGCGCTGCCGTTTGTGCGGCATGTGCTTGGGCGTCAACAAAGAGAATGATTCTTCTCCTTTTCAGGAATACAATCCTTGCTGCTTCCGATGCAACGGGCGTGATGAAGAGATATTGATTTTTTATCATGTTCTCGTGATTCTGGGAAGCTGTAAAGAAGTGCGAAATACCACAAGAGAATGAGCGTGGTCTTCACCTTGTAGAACTTCTGCTCGGGATATTTTTTGATGCTTGCTGCTATCTAGATTTTCAAAAAACTACTTACTTCTGTTGCAAGATTCGGGTTTTCGTCGAGGATGACGAAATATTCTGAAACTCGGACTTTTATTGGGTGAAGCGAGTTGACGAGATCTCCTAGGAGCGCTTTGCTGCTGCTCAGTCAGCTCATACGGTGCCCATTTGTACAGCTTTCCAACCTTCTCAACTACCTTCCAGGCGCTACAAAAATTTTATGTGCTTGATCAAGGTTATGCTGCTCGCCATCGCACACTCATACTGAAATCTTCTTCTGCCGGTGCCCCAGAAGGTTGCCGTCAACAGGAGAATGTCGTCCGTTACCGCCCTTTGTTCAAATCTAGAGTTCCTAAAATGAAAGCTTCTGAGCATTGATGCAGTGTGCATTTATTGCAACATCCTTAGCCCCACACAGCAATCCTATTCCGAGCTGTCTGCACAACACTTTGTCTGAATTCGAATTCTCAGATGAAACTTGCTCAAACGCCTTCGATACAAACCCTAAAAAAGAAGCCGAGCTATTTCAAAACATTATACCGGTATAAGAAAGAGCATGAAGTGGGCACCTCAAGGGTGCGCAAAAATACAGCAAGTTAAATGAAAATCTCCGAAAGTGTCTGATAAAAATGACACATCCAAGCGCATTACATTCTGGTCGACCTAATATTACTCGCCAAGAACGATTTTCTCTTATGCCATAGAAGTCAATTGATACTCTTTTATTGTGCCTGCTCGAAATTTTTAGTACTTTCATTCGGCCTCTTCGCCTCCGTCAGCCTGAAAAGCCCAAAAGCAATTGAGATCGATACTTTCATGAGTCAAAACACCTCAAGACAATTTCCCTACAGCCTGAACCAACTAGCGCGGTATCGATAGATTCAACCTACACAAAAGGCAAGAGGAAGGGCGCCAGGACACGGGTTACGGCTACACACTCTTCCTTTTTTGTTTTCCGAGTTCCTAGCAGCAATCCAAACTAGAGGCAAGATGGTAACTAGCACCGGAAAAGATTTATCTTTTAAGCCTGTTGATGCATTACTGGAAAGTGTTTTGAGTGGGCTTTTTGTCGTTAGCCCATCCTCATATGTGTTCCTTGATCCTTGTGCTCGGAGGGCGCCCTGTCTCATTGTTGTGTTCGATCAAAGAACACATGGATCTCAAAAAATCGCGCACCGAAACCTCATTAGGAATGCATTGAACTCACGAGGGAAGGCATTGAACTCCCCGTGAAACTTTGAATTCCACAACCTATCGAGTAAATCGTGTAGAGCCTGACAACTCCGGTTAGAACTGCGGAACCCAAAATTGGCAAACGATTCTGCCAAGGAAGTTACGAGCAGTCGAAGTTGGCTGCAAATGAGTGCTTTTGGATGAGGCTCGCTAGTGCAGAAAAACTGTGTTGCCGTGGTGTAGTGGTAAGGCTCTCGCTCATCATCATGCAGGTCATGGGTTCGGTTCTCCCGCTGCGGCGTTTAAACAATGTTTGCATATGCCAGTAAAACGACTTCTATTCCTAGGTCTCATAATTATATCCGAAAGCTGAGCACCTTGGGTTCAGAACGTGAAGACAGAGTGACAGGTACAGTTGTCGCTATGGTCCAGATGAATATCTTCATTGATAATGATGCATTCTCCCGCGAAGGTAGTTTGGATACTTTTCGCAAAATTCGGAGCAAGAAGATAATAGTCCTGCAACATGCAAAAAGAGAAAGATTGCTGCAAGGTCCGCTTTTATACTTCGTGCATCGCTGGATCGATATTGTAAAGGGGAAAGATTGGAATCGGATGCCCCAAACGAATCGGAGTGGGATTATTGCAATAACGAGGATGAAGACAGCTCGGGCAAGGCAAGGCAGACAAGCCGTGGAGTGGTAGAGGTATCAAATTAGCTCTGTTCTTTTAACTGAACGCTGGGTGTAGAAGAAAGTACGCACGAAGTTACTTCATCTCAACTCACACAACAAACGTCAATGGTATTAGCATAGCTGTGATTAGGTGCTTATTCAAATAAATGTCAAAAACTAGAATAGAACTCTCTACTGGGTACGGAACATGATTTGCAAAAACGTCACCGCAGCGGGAACCGAACCCATGACCTGCATGATGATGAGCGAGAGCCTTACCACTACACCACGGCAACACAGTTTCTCTGACACTAGCGAGCCTCATCCAAAAGCACTCATTTGCAGCCAACTTCGACTGCTCGTAACTTCCTTGGCAGAATCGTTTTGCAATTTTGGGTTCCGCAGTTCTAACCAGTGTCCCAGGCTCTATCGATATGTCTAGGTCTCGGCTCAAAGTTCCACAGGGAGTTGAATGCCTTCCCTGGTCAGTCTCATGGGGATCTCGCATTACCAGTGTCAGTTACCATCTTGGCTCAGAAGAGGAATACCGCGTGGAAAACGCTGGAGGCGTTTGGGTTGCTGCTAGGGACCCCAAGAAAGGAAAGGAATGTGTAGCTGTTACCCGTGACCTGGAACCCTTCTTCGAAGTTTGAAGGTATGTTCCGGTGGAAACATGGAGTAGACATAAGTTTGTTTATTCAACGCTTGGGTCTGCTTCTTGGGTTATGCGGAGCAGTCATCTTGCGCCTCGACGACAAGGATCTAGGTAAGCCTTGTAGCACTCTTCAATCTATCGATACCACCTGTTGGTTTAGTAGTCTGGAGAAATTGTCTTCAATGAAAGGATCGGTCTCAATTGCTTTTCGACTTTCAGGCTCTGACGAAGGCGAAGAGGCCGAAACGTAGACCTTATAAAAAACTGAAAAATCGTGGACAGGCTACAAAAATATTGCTTGAAAGGTTCTCACTCATTTCAGTGATGCTGTGATGCTCGATCTACTCAACCACATGGTAAGGGGCAATTCTGAGAGCATCTGACCGATACAGCGTGGTGACCAGCAGTTGGGTGAACATCCAAGTACGCGCGATCATAATTGACAGGAAATCAACGTCAGTATATAAAGTAAAACTTATTTATCCTAATCATCACTTTAAAATTTCTGCGTTATAGGAGAATGAGATTTTTGAATAGGATATCCGCATTCTTTTTGACATCAGAGCGATCTGGTACCAGATCTGACTGAAACTACAGCACACATTTCTACTGCTTTGGCCAAAAAAGCCAAAGGGGGGGCGCCAAAAAAAAAGAGTCACTTTGGGTAAGGCTTGTACCTGCGGCGAATACGTCGCACAGAAAGAAGGGGCAGGCGGATATTTCTGGGCAAAACACTCTTGATATGTTCCTTGATAAACAGAAACAAGAACTCGTGGAGTTTCTCCATCGTTATCAGAAGATGAAGCCGTCCGCAATAGCGGACGTGCTCAAAGAAGCCTATGGCATCTGCGTCGGTCTCAAGCAACTACGAAACTTCCTCGGTCGAGTCACTCGTGGGCAGACTCCTGGATGCCGTCGTTCTGGATCTGGAAGACCACCTTCGTCATGCAGCGCCGACAATGCTGTTATGGTCAACGATATCGTGTCCGACGAGCCGACCTTGCCAGTCAACCTGATCGCCAAGCGAACTGGAATACCGCGCACATCTCGCCGTCTCATTTGATAGAAACAAGGATACAGATCGCTTTCCAAGGTTGGCTCTTCAGTTCCCGTGGCTTCTTTCATCGCCAGTTTTTAGGTACGAGTCCACAGCCTCAACGAGAACCAACGACGGAATCGTCTGGAGTGCTGCGAACGTCTCCTGCCGAAGCTCAGCGACGACTTCTTGAAGAGCATCGTCTTCAGCGATGAGAAACTCTTCCTGATTTCTCCTTCAAGAGACAGCTACAACAAGCGCTTCTGGACCACGCTGGAAAAAGTCGGAAATTAGTCCGAGCGCGCTGCAGTCACCAAGATCGACTAGCCAGCGCGGCCTGATGGTGTGGGCCGGCGTTTCGTGGAGAGGGAAGACAGATCTCGTCTTCGTGGAGCCTGGTTTGAAGATCAACGCCGAGTACTACATCAGGCAACTTGAAGGAGAGATTTCGCCGTCATGTCATCAGCTGTACGGCCGTGAAAAGTTCGTGTTCCAGCAGGGACTGGGCACCTGCTCATGCCGCTCGGAGAACTCTTGCTTTCCTCGAATCGCAAGTAGTTGAGTTCCTGCAGAAGACAGAATACCCTAGTGCGTCTCCAGATCTGAATCCTCTCGACTACCGAGTATGGGCAGAACTCAATCGGACTGTGTACGATGGGCAGGAAGCTGAAGATCTCGCCGAGCTGAAAAGACGCATCATGTGATCGCGTGGCAAAATCTTTCGTTGTCGTTCGTCCAGAAGGCCGTTATGGAGTTCCGTAGTCGTGTACAGTGTGTTGTTGATTTTGCGGGTGGAAACATCCAAACAGTGTTTGATAAAGTTTGATTAGTTCAGCTTTAAAAGTTGGGAACGAGAGTGACTCTTTTTTTTTGGCCCCCCCTGTACACTGCTCCGCATAATTATACAGCCACCTATGGATTCTGCAAAAACTCTTCTCCTAAGATGTATTCGAAGAAGCCTCTATATGGAAAAGGTTGTAGGTATAAATGCTATTTTGCACACCAGCACAGAGTTCCAGCTTTGAAATTTGAAGGGAGTTTTTCTGCAATTTTTCCGAAAAATTGCCGCTCTGACCTATTCCACATATTATACAGCCACCCCATACTTTTTTGATTTTCTTTCAACTTGATTAAACTTTTTTGTTGTTATCCATTTCCTTCTTTAGGTGGAAACACGGAAACCGTCATCATAATTTAAATAAAGGCAAATGATACAAAAATCGTGCAAGAGTTGAGAGGCAGTCGCACTGCCCAAATTTTGGGCCAAGTTTGCCTTAGAGTAAACAATTTTTGAGCATTGTGCAAAATATGGAGTAAGATTGAACCGTAGAGATCTTTCTTTGCTTTCGGATTCAGATAAACGCCGCCTCATAAGAAAATCAAACACTTCCATCAATTTGTGCTTGGAAATCAAACCTTATTTGAAACTTGAATTCTCCAACAGGTGGTCTGTTCGACGTCTGTGGCTAAACTACAAGTTCATCAACGAGTGAAAAATGTAAAGCGCATTGTTTATGAGCAAAACATCTCAAAAACGGAGACAGTTTTGTCAAGAAGTGAAGCCGAGCTGACTGGAGTGAGGTCGGTTTTTTGCCTGTCATTTCCTACGCCTTGTCTCCCTTTCTCGAAACATTTTCTTACTCTAGATAACTTCTTCTTATGGAGAAGCGTATCCTGGAGATAAAGAACTTCGGAAGAAAGGCAGGTAAGGCGTGAGAAATGACAGGTAAAAAACCGACCTCACTCCAGTCAGCTCGGCTTCACTTCTTGACAAAACTGTCTCGGTTTTTGAGATGTTTTGTTGTCATAAACAATGCGCTTTACATTTCTCACTCGTGGATGAACTTGCTGTTCTGCCGCAGACGTCGAACAGACACCTTTTGGAGAACTAAACTCTCCAAGAGTCTATTTTACTCCAAATCCTGGACACTGCTTGAAGAAATTGTTTATTTAAATTATGATGACGGTTTCCGCATTGTTTTCACCTAAAGTCGAAGTGTGGATAACAACAAAAAAGTTTAATTAAGCAGGAAAAGGAAAAGCAACAAGAAAGTATGGGGTGGCTTGTATAATTATGCGGAATAGGTCAGAGCGGCTTTTTCCGAAAAATTGCAGAAAAACTTCCTTCAAATTTCAAAGCTGGAACTCTGTGCTGGTGTGCAAAAAGCATTTATACCTACAACCTTTTCCATATAGAGGCTTCTTCGAATACATCTTAGGAGAGAGTTTTTGCAGAATCATAGGTGGCTGAATAATTCAAGCGGAGCAGTGTATCTCCGACTTGACCACTTAAAATTTGCTTGGAACGTTTAGGAGAAGTTTTCCTCTAAATTTGCTGATAAGGTTCCTAACCATTTTGACTACCTATGTTCATGAGTTTTCTTGAAAATTTGACTTTCTTTGATCAGAACCGCATAAGATCACCCTCTTACCTTAGTCGTCACTGGATTCTTTTATCCTGTTCTACATTCTTGCTTTCAAAGTTGGCACCCATGAATCCAAATGTCATCGGAGCACACATATAAAAATTGAAGGTGGAACGTAACTGGTGGGAACTATCACATTGGGAAGGCATTTTGCAAGCGCTTCAATCCTCTCTGCAAATTCCCTTTTTGCTTTGTAGTCGATGGAGTAACAGAAGATGTTCTGCGGGTGATAGCTTGACCTGAGCTCGTCTTCAATGAATTCGTAACTCTGAATTAGGTTAATTACAATGCTGCAGAAATAATGTGAATGGGTGAAGCTTCCAAAAAGCACCTCGTATACTATCCGTGCATGAGCTACTCCAAAATATAGTCGTTGAAGTGTGCTCCTAGGAACGACTCGAGCTCGAACCTCCTCGCAGCTCATGTTTAACTGTCGATCGGGAAAGCTTCGGACGCGTTGCTGCTATTTGCATTGTATAATTGCCCAACTAAATGGCTTTTTGAAAAGACTGACAAGATCCTCTTGTGTCAACACCGACCTTGTGGTCATGAAGAAGCCTCCCACAGTCGATGCTGGCCGTCTCCGCTTTCCGCAGAAAGTATGTCCTCTTTCGAGACCATAGTGTGTCTGGAAAAATTCGCTCATTTCATAGAATTTTTGAACCAATCAAATCAAGTTGTGTTCACAGGTCTACATTCAAGGCGTCTCATGCACTACGCAAGTCCTGAGGTCGCTGAAGTTGAACTTTGAGCGGCGAACACTATCTTTACGCATACTTCGTTTTTGACGATAAATTATGGTGTACTGTGAAAATATACGTGTGTCTGCACAGGAGCTTCGAAGACCTCGCAGTGCAACAACATTGCTTTGAACTATAACTTGACTTTGATTTCATTTTAGTAGCGAGAGGGTAGCTTATTGCAAGGATTTCTTTCTTTACTAATAGTTAACACGTAGGTAGGTCAGGTATAAGCGAACATACCAGCCAAAGTATTTGGGCCGCTAAACATTTTCAAAACTTGGATTCTGCAACGAAGGAATTTTGTTTACCATATCTGCCCGCTTATGTTGTTCTTCCCAGTGATACAATAACTTGCACCCACTAGATGCTTGAACGAAAAGTGAGACCCTCCTTGCTATGCTTTCCAGCACTATTGCGGAAAAAATTGCCATCGTAGTGCTGGGAGACAGGGACTGCAGAAGCTGGTTTGTGTGTGTTGCGGGTGCAGTTTTAAAGCTTGCGTTCCATAAAAATGAGTAATTTTCATAAGCAGAGGTGTGATAAAATAGAAACTCACCCCTTCCATATATCACTGAATGAAACAGCGCTCTCTTACTGTGGATATTTGGTTTCAGTGACCTCCACACACCACTACCATACTCCATGGTACTTGGGTGAAAAGCAGCAATATGAAAGATCTGTTTGGACTTTTCACTTTGGCTCTCCTCACTCGTATCACTCTTTTTTTCACGCCATGTCTTCATTTGACGGATGTAGTATTTCTTTTTGTTGATTTTCCCCGTTTCTAAGAAGGTCCTTCACTATGGGCTTGTAACTATGTTATGCTCTGAACTCGAGTTAGTTTTTCGGTGGCCTACACCACTATTTCATCATCGTACCTACTTGACGCTCCTCACCAACTGACTAAAGACTCCCGGATTGTAATAGCTATGTTCACTTTGATTTGCATGCAGACAAAGCCTCTCTTTCTCTCCTTGACGAACGCTGAGAATTTTCATTGGGGGCACCTCTTAAACTTCAAAAAGGGTTTGCTGGCAGAGGATCAGTAACGGTTTTCATAGACACATGTTCCGTCTAGTGAGTAAGAAGCTAGCTACATTAACTTCTTGGATAATTTCTACATGAATTCAAGTCCTATTGTTTCGAAAATTCCTGGAAAATCTCAATATTTGAAAAGAAGAATCTCACTCTATGAAAGCCCCCACTCACCCCGCTCACTACTTCCGGTGGGAAAATATCCGGAGACCTCTTTTGCACCTCATTTTGCATTCGTATCGTCTAAGCTATTCTGAATTACTAATCGCACCGGAAAATAACCGGGATTGGTTAAGTGCACCATATCTCAGCTAACGTCGAACTGTTTGGGAAAACATCTCGTTGGTTTTATCTTATTTGAGTGTGATCCATGCACCTGTTGTGCCCTAATTCTGATCACCAACGCTCCACGAGGGCAAATGACCTAAGCAGGCATGCCGTCAACTTCAACGGCAAAACAGCACTATATATTACACTCCGCGAGAGTTCAAAAAATGCGTGGAGCTCACACCTTATAGCGACGTCAAATCATGACTTTCCTGTTGAATTGTTATATCTGCTCACTGTTGCAGAGAGAGAATAAGGGAGAGAAGGTCATGGGCGAGCGGCCGCCCAAGCGTAGATCATATTGACGCGGGCGGCCGCAAGACCACCTGCGAAGGGGTACGGTGAGGTGGTTTGATCACAACCACCCGCCCGATCACCGTACCCCCATGACCTCCTCCCCCTATAAAAGAGGCCCGGAGATTCTGGAGAGCAGTTCTTCTTCCCACGTCGTCGCCTCCACCGCCGTCGCCTCTCCACCGCCGTCGCCTCATCCACCGCCGTCGCCTCATCCACCGCCGTCGCCTCACCACCGCCGTCGCCTCACCCACCACCGTCGCTTCCACCGCCAACGCCTCCCCACCGCGACCGCTTCACCTCGTCTTCAAGTCACCTCAATCTCGTTAGTTTTGGTTTTTTTGTTGGTTAATAAATCGTTGAGTTTAGCTGTTCTGTTGTGGCAAAAGAATAGCCTAGAATCCTAAACCATCCTTTTTGGGGGACAATACCTTACATGGGGGCCGAACCAAACTAAAGGATTCGGACTATTCTCAATTGCTCGACAGGAATATATCGGAAAAGCGGCCATACGGGTCGGACTAGCTAGCGTATCCTTACTGATCACCGAAGAAAGAAGGGTCAGCAAGGTTCGAAGATTAGAGTGCAAAGAAAGAACACTCTAAGAACCAGGTGATAAGGTAGGAAGATACCGAGTCACATCTTAACCATGGTCGTGTTAAGGGAACGACCAGCTCCAAGCCAGTCAAGAATGAGCACCGAAGAGCTCAACGACGTTATCATGGAGGATCAGGAGCAAAAGGCACCTCCAGAGGTGAGTAATTCCGATGGCAAAGAAGGGAACCGAAGAGGAAGTTGGACTGAGTGTGTGAGAGTGGTGCAAGAAGCAAAGCACAGAGCGGTGACAATACTGAGTAAAGCCAAGATAGCCAAGGAACTCAAATAGGTCTGGAAAATGAGTGGGTCTTGGTGGTAGACACGGTTCAGAAACTTGTGGAGGAAGCATTGCAGTACCCTGGAATTCCGGAAGGACTAATGGTGGGAATTGCAGGGACGCTCACTCAAAGAGGAATAGAGTCGGAGGAAGAGTGGGAGGAGTATATAAAAACGGTAGAGAAGGATGGAGAGCTGATAAGCGAATTGTGCGAAATGTTTGACACAGACGTTTTTCAGCTAAAGCAGAACAGCAGAAAATGCAGCAGGCCAATCAAAGAGAACGGTTCCGGTGCGGTTCACTGAGGCACTGCGGAACACATCATTCCAGGAAGCACATTATCCGACTGGTCAGAAATATGTGCGCAGCTATCAGAAGCTTGGAAGGAGCCCGGAAGCGACTCCAGCACGTGGACGCAGGTACGGATGCAAATATGTATTTGGTGAACTACCTAAGGGCCATGACATGTGCTGACCCGGGAGTATATAAAGGGTCAAAAGGTGAAAATTTCCAAGAATTCCTTAGGAAATTTAGGAGGAAATATGAAAGCGTAATTGCAAGTGAAGAAACATTAGTCGAGATATTAGGCGACGATCACTTAGCGGGAAGGGCTAAGAACATATTTTCCTCTCTGCCACGAGCAACAAAAGAAAGAGGGTTCGAGGTCGTGACCCAAGAAATGGCCAGGCTGTTAGCATGCGATTCCACAGCGAGCCGAATGAGGGCCCTGACCGAGCTGAAAAATTTAAAGGTAAGGCCGGGAGAGGTTGTCCTCGAGAAAATAGGCAAACAGGCGAATCCAGAAAGCGCACCAGAAGACCAGTCGATGGAGTACGCCCAAATTCTTCTGGATAATCTAAGCAGCTGGCCGGAACATTTCCAATTACTAGGAGCGCTCCATAGGGTAGAGCCCCATAACGCGTACGAGGAAATAAAGCAGTTAGCCATCAGCATAGAGCAATCAAAAAGGATGTACTCAGAAAATAGAAGCAACGTTCGGGCATGGAAAGCCAGATATGCTCAGTATCAAGGTAACAGGGAGAGCAAAACAGAGGTGCCCGCGTTAGAGAGACCGATAAGCTGGGAAGGCCCGGGAGGTGAGGCGCGAGGGCCTCGTCCCAGAGGTATAAGCAGTGCAAGCACTACAAACCATAGGTTGGCGAAGCGTGAGCGGGATAACCAAGAACCAGCTCAAGGCAAAAAATGTTACCAGTGTTCAAGGTTTGGACATATTGCGCGGGAATGCCCATCCCGAGTAGTAAGGGTGAACCGCGCATCGCAAATGAAAACTCCAGATGAAGATAGAGAAATAAAAATGTCGTCTATGATACAGAGAGGTCGTAGCCTGGGATGACAACCCAAGGAAGGGGTCCTGAAAAAACCAACCTTTATTGGGAGTCAGATAGTGATTCCAGTGAAGTTTTTGGGAGAGCAATGTAATGCCCTAGTAGATACGGGATCGATGATCAGTATAATCCCCATAGAGATTGTAGCTCGAGCGCAGGATCGGGGGTTCGATGTGGACTCCTTATCGGTTGTGCCGAAGTCAAAACTGAAACCGGTGTTCGACGCCTCGAATAATGAAGTTCATGGGTGCAGTGTACATCCAGGTAGAAACAGAAGGCGGGCGATCCGAGTTGATAGCATTCCATATAAGTCCCGCAAAAGAAGCAGAAGTAATTATAGGAACCAACGCGTTAAATAAGCTAGGCGTAGAAGTGTCCATAGACACAAAAAGCAGGGTGAATACCAAAGTAGACGAGGAAAGTAAGAAAAACCGAGTAGTAGTTATAAAAAGGCTATACGTACCGCCTTGTGATTCAGCTCTAGTGCCTGTTAAGTGTGAAGGTGATCCCAAAAGCGAGGTAGAAAGGGTAATATGGCCCAACAAACGTGGTGTTGATTTGGGAGTTTACGCCTCAAAGATCAGAAAACGGCAATTCCGGTGTTCAACAGCAGCATGGAACCCCTACTTCTGAAGGAAGGAGAAGAGATCGGACATTGGGGAACGGATAAGTGGCACGAGCGCTGGGAAGATTGTAACCCGCTCATATCCGATGAAGGTGCTAATGAGGTATTATCAGAAGAGGAGCGAGTGGAAAAGCTGGAGGAACTACTGTTAGCAAACACGGAATCTCTAGCACTGGATGGAGAACTGAGGGGCCTCCTGAAAAAGTATTCAGATACATTTTCGATTTCCGATAAGGAACTATCCAAACCGAGTTGGTAAAAATGACCATAGATACGGGAGACTGTGCGCCGATAAAAATGAAAGCAAGACCAGTGCCACTGGGGCTGAGACCAAAACTGAAGGAGTTACTAGCAGACTTGTTAGAAAGGAAAGTTATAGAACACAGCAAATCAGAGTGGGCGTTTCCCATTGTTCTTGTAGAAAAGAAGGATGGCTCAATCCGATTGTGCGTAGACTACAGAGAGCTCAACAAAAAGATAAAACTGGATGCGTACCCACTGCCAAGTATAGAAGCGCTTCTCCAAAGTCTCTCGGGGAAAAGATTCTTTTCGACACTGGACTTGTGCAGCGGCTACTGGCAGATTCCACTAGCGGACGATGCAAAAGAAAAGTCAGCTTTCGTCACACCAGAAGGACTCTTCCAGTTCAGAGTGACGCCATTCGGACTGAGCACAAGTCCTCCAGTATTCCAACGGTTGATGAATACTGTTCTAGGAGACCTTCTTGGTAGCGAAGTCTTCTGTTACATAGATGACATAATGGTTTGCACAAATTCGAAGCAACGTCATCTTCAACTACTGGACGAAGTATTCTCTAGGCTAAAAAAGGCAGGATTGCGGTTGAAGGCTAAAAAATGTCATTTGTTGAAGACAAAGTAGCGTTCCTCGGGCAATGATGACGTTCGCGATTGGTCCACATGGCATCCCGAAAAAGTCGCAGTCAAAAAACTACACCAGAAACTCATCAAAATGTCGACAGCTTGTATACGAAGTTCCTTAGCATTGGCTATTACAGAAATTTCGTTGACTTTCCAAACCAGCAAGGAGTCCTATCGCCTTGGACCCCCAAAAGAATGGATGTGACAAAGACACGACCAGCCTCCCAGAAGTGAAAAAAATGATCTGCCTCAGACACCCGTTCCAAGCACGCTGATGACAGCACCAAGGAAATTGGAGTAAACCCTCTGCACTATCACATGGCTGATGCATCAGCATGTTGGAGCATGCTTCCCCAATAAGCAATAACAATTCATCATTTTTCGGTCAAAAGTTGACAGGCAGCGAAGGTATCAACGTACGGACCGAACCCAGCATGGTTTCCGCCGTAAACCTGCTCTCCATCTGTCATAACATAGTCCTCACGATCACCTCAGCCTTTAACGGGCACATTCAGCGTAGTAACGGGTATCGCCCAGAGTCGCTACTGGTCACTTGAAGGCAAAGGTACATAACCTCAAATAGCTACGTTAAAGAAATCTAAAGGCAGCGGACCCTAAGTCGAAGGTCCACGCGTATATACCAAAATCACTCAGGGGATTGAATGAAGCCGGGTTAATCGTTCCGCGAGAGAGACCAAGTTCGAGGGAAATGAGGAAGGATCCACAATTCGGCAAAGTCATCCGACTGGTAGAAAAAGGAGAGTGGGATCAGGAATTAAGGATGACAGGAGAGAAGCGTCCAGTAAGAGCGGCAGATTTTGCGCTAGAGAATGGAGAATTGAAGAAGTTCGTAGAAGGGGTAATGCGGTGCCCGTAGTTTCAAACCATGTCGCTATGAAATTGATGAAATGAGAAACCCATAGCGGCACTTTCGCAGGCCATTTCAGCGGAAAGAAAGTTTAGCAATTGCTAAGAGCTATAGCCATCGCTGCGCAGATACACAATGCATGATGTCAAAAGCGTTCGTAACGCAATCCACCGAAGCAGGTCCTCCGCTCGGAGCACCATCATACAATTCGAAACCCTACTAGCAAGGACGTCCTAAGAGTAGTTCAACGTCAAGAAATAGATATCCATAACTAATATCACTGCTAGCAGCACTGCTACCAGCCAGACAAATCCAGAAACTATTGCCAAGACCCTTTTCGTCAGGTGGATTGCAGAGGGTTGTAGATGGCCCAAAACATTTTGTCGGACCAAGGAGGGGAATTTGTCAATCATGTAATGGAAGAAATCATGAAAATTACAAAAATTAGCCACATTACCACGAAAGGATATATATCCGAGAGAAATCATTAACCGGAAAGGCTCAAATGGCACAGTCTCTAGCGGTGAAAGCACGCATTTCACTACAAGAGTGTGATCACGAATTGCCTTTCTTATACGGCGCTAAATAACCTCCAACGCAACGAGAATGCCGCCCATGTACGCCCACATGTTCCGTCAGAGGATCATATCCAGAGCTGGGGGGACATAGTGACCATTCCGCTTTAGCAACGATACAAAACTAAAATCTTTAAGCGGTTTCGGGGATACAGCACATAGCGAGAAGAGATACACACCGATCGCACAAAGAAAGAAACAGATTACGGATAAAGAAAACAAAGCGAAGGTAAACCCACCCCGAAATTGCCGATCAAGTGAGATGGTCCCCGCAAAAAAAGTAAGAAAGCAGCCCAAAAGCAGTATTAGAGCCAAGACCTGTAAGTTCATTAACGTAGAAATTCCCTCACGTCATGACGCTAACACACCCTGTAACCGAAGAATGGAACCGTGTGTCCACCTGTTAAATAAACCAATTTATAATAAAGAATTCGCTGGAAAATTCGAACCGAACCATAGAAACACACATCCAAGGCGCAGAGTCGAAAACAAAAGAAGCTAAACAGAGTCCATTGTAAAATTCAGCGCGTGTGATTTCTCTTCTGACTGATCTGCAGAAGGACACCTTCAATTCCAATGCGTGGACGACTATTCGCCAAGACGACTCTGAACGACATCGAGAAAATCCCGTTCCCGGGCGCGTATGGAAAGCACAACCCATTTGGAGACACGTGGACAGCGTGAAAAATAGCGTCAATCTTCATCAGGAAGGAATTGAGCATGGCGCAAAAAGTTGAGCTATACGAAAAACGTGCAGTGTCGCTAGATACGGGAGCTCTAAAAAAAGTGCTGAAAGTGGCATCCAAATGGACCGAACATATTTGCACCAATCAACCAAGCCTCTCCAACACAAACGATCGCAAGGCCATTGGATCATTACATACAATTTCCTTGAGACGCTGGAAAAGATCTGCAAAGTCAAAGACGTCAGCGCCCCGAAGAAGTGAACCCACTGTTCGCACACCAAAACGCCTTGTCTATGGAGCGTGATGGTCGAAGGGGACTAGTCACAAAGTTCCATCTACAAGCAGTTTCAAAGGGAAACATATTCTGCGATGATGCATCACGAAGTCCAACAATGTCATCGTCATTCACAAATTAGAACAATTAGAAAGAACGGAACAGAAAAGCCCATTTGTGGACATCTATTGGAACTTGGCGCAAAGCACTTGGACACGCGGTGAAAGATGTAACAGCTTGCCGCCTGTGACAGCTCCAATATATACTGGGCAATGGAGAGAAATGTTGAAACTATGGAGAACGATAGATCAAGCATTGTTGGAATGGGAGACGAGGACTAGATGGTAGCCACAGAGCATCCGGGTTCTAGAAGGAAAGGTATTCATGGAGGCAGGGAGTTCAGAGTCTTCAAGCCAGCTATACGAGCCATACAGGGGTGTGGCTGCAGCAAAAGCTCTATTCTGAAATCCGAGAGAGGGCCAAAGCATTTTAGCTCCCCGATATCGACCGGTCGTCGGACGACGACTTTGAGGCCGGGGGCATGTTGAAGAGAGAGAATAAGGGAGAGAAGGTCATGGGCGAGCGGCCGCCCAAGCGTAGATCATATTGACGCGGGCGGCCGCAAGACCACCTGCGAAGGGGTACGGTGAGGTGGTTTGATCACAACCACCCGCCCGATCACCGTACCCCCATGACCTCCTCCCCCTATAAAAGAGCCCGGAGATTCTGGAGAGCAGTTCTTCTTCCCACGTCGTCGCCTCCACCGCCGTCGCCTCATCCACCGCCGTCGCCTCACCACCGCCGTCGCCTCACCCACCACCGTCGCTTCCACCGCCAACGCCTCCCCACCGCGACCGCTTCACCTCGTCTTCAAGTCACCTCAATCTCGTTAGTTTTGGTTTTTTTGTTGGTTAATAAATCGTTGAGTTTAGCTGTTCTGTTGTGGCAAAAGAATAGCCTAGAATCCTAAACCATCCTTTTTGGGGGACAACACCTTACATCACTAACCAATACAATTCTCGTCACATGTATAAGTTATCGGCTCACCGATCATCCGCTTCGCAATGCTTATTCGGCGTTGCTGCATGACAGGGCACTAAAATTGTTCCTCCTGTCTCGAGGGAGACGTAGGTCATATTCAAACTTTCGGTGATTTTGTTATATATCCTGACCTTCGAGGCAGCGGTGGCCTTGGTATTCCCGAAAAATCAGTAGCAGCTTTAATCCAGCAGTCATCGTAAACTCGCGTAGGTGGCTGGCGTATCAGATCTTTCACTGTTCGACGATAACGGTACGAGCTTCAGCCGTTGACGAAGTAACAGGCATTTGTGGTGACTTTCCGAAATTCCCCTCGTTCTTCCAGGCTGAAGAAGGCACCAACATCAAGCGAGCGAATTATGTTTCACCACTTGTGTCATCATCTCAAACGTGACTATATGGGTGAGGATTTCTCTCTTGAGAACCAGAAAGGAAGTCTTTGAGATTTCGATTGAGCTTTCGCTTGAGAAGATAATATGCGCCAATTTCATTCAAAGATTTATTTTAGTTGACCTCACCGTCCACAACCACCCGCCATGGATAGCCCAATATCTCCAAATCTATTCATCACCATGGTTCATCTGTTGCTTGTCGGTTTGACAGTGTTGGTACAGTGTGGTGGTAAGAAGAAACCAGACGCTGCTGCTGGCGGTGACGCAGGCGGCGCTGCTCCAGCAGCAGCAGGCGGTGAGAAGGAGGGAAGGGGAAAGAAAGAGGATTAACTATCAGGGATCTCAGGCAACCGGCCACCTCAATAATAAAACTGCTTTCATATATGGTTCGTGCCACGGACACACACGTTCACATTGGGGCGTGTTGTGCTGTGTCGCGTTTGGGTACTCGGATTACTTCACGATCCATTAAAGACTGTTCTGATAACGACACTGATTTGGTATTCGTCATAGAAGAGAGGAGGGAATTCGCTACAAAAACTACTGGA